TCCACTCGACCCTTCACAAGAAGAAACCAGAGATTGTTATTCAAAACACATATGTAATATCTCTCTTTTACAAGCCTACATCAAATAGGTTGCTTTTCCAACGCAATGAAAAACTTGAAATTCATATGAATTTTAAAGGGTGAAGAGTGTGAACACAAGCCCTTGTAGATGAAAGAACGTGCTTTACAGTTATTTTATTCAGCGCCAAGGAGGTTTTAATACAAACAAGGCATGTTGAGTTTATGCTGAAGCAGAAATATATCGTAAAAATAAGATACTTATGACTTTTGTTGAGTGAATGCAGGGCCGTTTTAAAAGCCAGTTTGCTTATTATCGTAAGCTATTAAATTTGTTTCGTTTTACCACTTTGGCTCTACTCTAACCCCGTTTTAAAATGCCTTTCATGTGCTTTCTCCCTCTCATGCTAAATTGCAGAAGCTTTTGGGTCAGGGGAACGGGGACGTCACAACCGCCCTTAAGCTGCCTCCTTCTCTGGACCTTCACAGACAGCATCCAAATCCACAAGTACAAGAACATCTCCACCATCTGAGTCTTCATCTCACCTCCCATTCAGCACCCTCCCCTCCACCCTGAGCTCCCAAACCCCAAGCAGCCCCACACAGGACATGCTGGCCGTTGCCGGTGTTGAGATATGAGCAGAGAACCACGTAGACCATCTGCCCCACCAGAAAACTGATGAGTTCCTGGCGTCAGTCCGTCCTCGGATAATTACTCGAGGCAGCAGCTACCGGTGGATTGAAGCTGACATTTGATCTGATATTTTTTAACCAAATGCTTTTGGATTATGCCTTTTTTAAAACGTTTGGATTTTTCCCAGCTTTGCAAGTCTGTCTTTCCTGCCAGGCGCATTGATTTAGTCCCTCGTCTCCTAGAGGAGCCCCAGCCAGAGGCTCTCCCGTTCGGTTTGGGCTGTGTTTTAAGGGAAGAGCACAAAAGCGTGTCCTGTGGGTACTTTCAGCTGAAACTGGATCGTCTTCCTCACAGTGAATGGGTTTGCTGCCTGTACCTGTGCAGCCAGGAGCCCACGGAGAGCCCCAAATTAGACCCACAATTGGTCCAAGGAAACTGTGTGTTTACCGTAAAAGTCTGGCTGGGCTTTTGGGGTCGGGGGGTGGGGGGGAATTCTCTGTAATTGACTTCCACGCAGAGCTGACCGCTGTCATTATGCAGGAAAATGCTGCTGACCCACCTGCCCCGAGATAGCACAGGAACGCACAGCATCCTCCAAACACAAAGAATTTATGCTGCCCACCACCCCTAAAATGGAAAAGGGCAGCACTGAGATCAATGTGCATCAGTGTCCTTTTCCTGGTACGAGCCCTCCGTCAGTATTTCTAGTTTTTGTCATCCCACGGGCAGGAGAAACTCTGCCAGCATTTGCCTGGAGTCTGTGCTGAGCCCCAACACACACACACAAGAGAGTGTAAGCCTCCAAAAATCAGATGGCCAATAGATTCTCTGGCCCTTAAGCTGGACATTTTTAGTCAGGAGCTTTTTTTTTTTTTTAACCCATACACCTTCTATAAAGTTTTTTTTTTTTTGCCACACCTTTCATGGTCCCTGCTGAACTCGCCGTGGAGGTATTCTAATCTTTCATTACAAATAACACATCTGCCAGCTTTTGCACGAAGCGTAAGCCAAGTGCAATAGCTGTGGTTTCTCCTTCCGAAGCCTGCAGGAGCCAGCAGGATCCCTGGCCTCATTCACGTCACCGCCTTCACTCTAAGGCATCTTTAAAACATCCACCCTGGTAAATATTCCCCGCCCGGCTGTCCCCAGCGTGCCACGGCCCCGCTCTGGCACTGCCCTGGGAGGAGGGAGGGGAACCCACAAGTTGCCTCCACCCGGGGTGTCCCTTGGCAGCACCATCCCACCCCCCAAGCTTCTCCCCCCAAGCTCAGGATGGGCGTTACACCATTGCTAAGGGAAAAAAAAAAAAACAAAACCAAAACACCAAACCAAACCTGCTTTTTTTGGTGTGGAGAAGAGCCTGGTTTTGTCCTGCCTGCAGCATGCAGATACCATGGTGACAGACACCTTCCAACATTACGAAAGCAAACAGGAACTCATGAATTTGTGTTTTAAGGCCAAATTATATATAGGAGCAACGCACACTTGACATCTGTCGCTGCTTCCTATTAGTACCCTTTGCTTGATTAATCCCCCGCAGCCAGCCTAGCCCCCAGCTAGCGCTGGGAGGAACCGCTCACGCTTTCTAGGCAATATTGGAGAGATTTAACAAACTCCTGTGCAAGGCAGCCCTGGCCTGCTGCCTGCCCGAGCCGTGCCGAGCCGTGCCAGCCTCCCGCACACGTCTTGCAGTGCACAGGAGAGAGCAGGACAAGCCACACCAAGATCCCGCCGCCAGCTACCAGAGGTGACCGCAAAAGGATGGAGCCACAGCTCGGGGATGTTGGAGAATTCTCCTCGTCGCGTTCGTTGGGGTTATTTATCTGTGTTCCCAGGTGATGCTGAGAGTCCCAGATACAACCCAGCTGGCAGATTGGTGGCTCTAAAATAATTTCCGCAGACATCAGAGTAGGCAGGGGAATGAAAAAAGGTCAAATTTAAGCTTGAATGCTGCTGGGGAAAGGAATGTATCACTCATACAGAAGCGATGACTATAATGCATTTATAAATACACCCATGCGAGAGATTCTCTCCCTCATCTGTCCCCGTGCCGCCTGCTGCGGGCAGTACCCCTGCTTCTGCCATCTCCCGTGCACTGATGCTTTGGTTTAATTTTTACCTGCCTTAACTTTTCTTATACTGACCACAAGGTCTCACCTGTGAGATTTTCCCACTTCATGGGATTTCTGCTGTTCTGGGAGCAGCTGTGATCAAACCTAACCAGGGGCTTCTTCCGTTATCTTGTCCCAAGTGAAGGAGAAGAGGCTGCAGCGCTCTCCCTGCCCTGGGACACTGGGGTGGGATTTTACTCAGCATTTTGGTTATGGGGAGAATTTGAGCCCCATTTAAATGCTTCATGGCCCCTGGGACTGGCAGCGTACATCCCTACCCAGTAAATAAAACCAGAAAAGGAAGAAAATGAGACTGCTTTGCCTTGAGAGTAGCTGGGAAAGAGCCTTGCAGTGAAAATGCTTGAAAACGGTTCACAGTTCAGAGCAGAAATTCTGTGCTTGCTTCAGAGGGATAAATATTTTGAAAGAGCAGGTGCACGTCCAAACCGTTACCGCAGCTCTGGCTCTGTGCAGTGTGGCCCTCCACATCTTCACAAACTGTTAAAAGCTCAAGCAGCCAATCGCCCCTCGCGTGCTGCTGACTTGCTGCGTTCGGTATAAACTTGCACTGCATCTGGTATTTCAAATTTTTTTTTTTTACAGATTTACTACTGCTTATTCATACACGAAAGGTCGTCTCCTCTTTAAAAAAATCACAAATCACATCTTGCAGCCCCTGCACACTCGGATCAGCCCTATCATGGGCCCCAACCCTGACGGTTGGGCTTTGGGAGTCACGAGGATGCTGCATTGCTCCATGTTTCCCAGCCAGCCCCGTGCATCCCTGCAACTGAGACTCCAACAACAAACCCAACACACACCGCCCTTGAAACGCACAAAGTAATGCCATTTCACTGCAAAATGAACAGGGTGAGGTACTCACCTGCAGCCTGGTGGGGCACAGACTCCGGCCAGCTGCATCCCTCCCCGGGCAGCTGCAGCCCCCCTTGGCATCGCAGGAGGGCACAGCACGGGGCGGCTTATGTGGCTGCAAGCAAAACCTCTGTGGGAATTGGTTTTGTACGTTGCCACTTGGATTTGCAGGTTTAACTCTTTAAATTTAGCAAATTAATCCTTTGCTTAATTTAGAGGGGGGGATAAGGAGGGGAGGGAAACTGCATGAGGCAGCAAGAGTCTGAATGATTATGCTCTCATTAAAGCTCTTCTGCTGGCAGAGGAGGTAACGGAGGTGGAGAGGGATAATGGCAGCGTCTCAAAACTAATCCCCTCCTAGGCCACGTTCATCTTTTTTGGCTCTGTCAGGTCCCAGTTCCTCATTTTTACAGCAAGAAAAGCTGCTGGGACAGCTCATCCCCTGCCAGGGCTTCCCGAGTTCCCTCGCCGAGGCTGCGAGGAGCGCAGACCTCCCGCAGGGTCTTCCCCACGCCAGCAGGGTCACAGCTGCTGCTGTCACCACAGGATGGTTTGGGCTGGAAGGGACCTCAAAGCCCATCCAGTGCCACCCCCTGCCCCGGGCAGGGCCACCTTCCACTAGCCCAGGTTGCCCAAAGCCCCGTCCAACCTGGCCTTGAGCCCTTCCAGGGAGGGGGCAGCCACAGCTTCTCTGGGCAACCTCTCTGTCTGCGATGGCCATGCCAAAAATACCACTGCAACAATATAAAGGCTGCAGAAATGGCTGTTACTGGTGTCCTAACAGGCCCGTGAAGTCCACTTTGTCTTCTATCCTTTGTACAAATCTGAGAATAAAAAAAGATGGTCTTGCCCAACCTGGTTTTCCTTTAAATAAATTGCTAAAGGATGGAGGATGAACGAACCAAGTGGATGAAAAGGGACAAGGTTTTTAAACAGCCCCTCTTACATATCTCATTTAACTATTTTATATGCATCCCAGATCAAACTCAATGACAAATTCACATTCTGACACCCGGGGAATACTCAAAAAGATAACCGTGGGGGAGGAAGAGGGGCACACCTCCCTTTTCAGAAGCACTCACCATTCCTTTCTGCTTCTCGGTAGATTACGAAGGAGAAAACAAGGAAGGAAAAAAAATCGCCTTAAATCAAAATTATTTCTTGACCATTTTAATATGGTAGAACAGAAAAAGCCTGAAATCTCTTGAGATTTGTCATTCAGGAGACCAAAGCGGCCAGCCAGGATAACTAATTTTATTCCCAAACACTGTGAAATGTGCTGATACACACACCAGAGGGTTTATCACTGCTTCGGCAAGGCGAGGATTACCACCTGAATATATTGAAACTGAAATTATGCTGAAATCAGTAGGAAGGGAATACTGCCTCATTGCTTTAACAAAGGTGCGCTAAAGGCAATTACCAAAAAAATACCCTTCAAGGAGGAAATGGGTTGCAATTAAGTTATTACCAGCCTGGTGCTGGCGTTCCCCAAGGACTGCTCGGGTAATGGTTATCTCCCGACGAAGAGTTCTGCTTATCCCTTCTCCTTGAACGCCTCCTGGTGTGGATGTCCACCTCCTCCACCCCGCCCTGGCCACCACCATCGCCTCCACCATGACAGCACCCAACACACCCAACCCTCCCCGCTGTCCCTGGGGGTGACACGGGGCACCTCGGGGACTGGGAAGCTGAGATGGGTCGATGCAGATGTGCCTTAGAAAAGTCCCTCCTCCTCCCAGCCAAGCAAGGAATATGTCTTCTATCCCATATTTTTCCAACAAGGACACATTGGTGGGGCTGATGGACACTGGTGAGGTTGTGAATTCCTCTTTCCTTCTGCCCTCCATCCTGCCAGGGCATTCCCCAGGGCCAGTCCCTGTCTGGCAGGCACAGAAGGGCCAGTAAAACAAAAAAGCAAGGTCATTAGGGATCCTCCTTATCTGTCAAAAGGCCTCTGGAATTCGGTGTAATCATCAAGGCTGTGGAAGAAAAAAAAAAAATTGCCCTTTTATAAACTGGTTTTGCAGGCATGTGGGTAAGGAATGCAAGTAGGGAAATAGCTGAAATATTTCAAACGCAGGAGTCCACAGCAGCCCTGCCGCATCTTAATATTTATGTCTGTTACTCTAAACGCATTAACTCACAAATTTCAACATGAGCAGAGGAGGTTACTCACTGTTTCCGCACAGAAACCCCTCCTGCCCACAATCGCTTGGGCTTAACCGCTGCGGCCCTACAGAGGTGTGTGGGGCGAGGGCTGCAGGATGGGTGCAGCGGGAGGAATCAGCCCCTTAACGAACCTTCGGCGAGGAGACTGATGCCTGCTTCAGAGGCCTCTGGTTCTCGTAGCTGGGGATTGAAGGCAGCTGTTAAACCGGGGAGCACAGCGCTCAGCTCCACCAGTATCCCAGCAGGTTTCATCCTGGCTGGCAGAGCTGAAGCTGGTGACATTTAGAGCAAGAACCAACATTCAGGAATTCCTCGTGTTACACCCCAGGCAATCCAGCCCACTACCTGATTTCAGGCTGAGAACTTTTTCCTAGGACCATAAACATCTTACAGTGAATCATTTTTTTTTTTTTTTCCCAGACCTATTAAACGAGACCCACAGAAAATGGTTTAGAAAATTAAAGTTAGGATATTCCTTACACAGTCACGCAATCCCTTCTCAAGCGTAATCTTTACCAAGAAGTTTTACCGTCCCTTCACCACTCGTTCGGTTCAGCTTAGGGGTGGATTCAGGTTACACATCAACAGGCCCAGCCTAAAGCAGCCAGAACCTGTGATGCAGAGGGAACCGATGCACTGGGAGAGAGGGGAAGGTGCAATTCCTGCTGAAAGAGATAATTCTGCAGGTGCCCTTCAAAGGGTGGGCTCAGGTTCCATCAATCTGCTCAATTACCATTTAATTTTGAGCCTACAACTGTTGCCGATTCCCAGTTTCCAGTCAAGGGCAATTATCTTTTGTTATTTCTTTGTCTCTGCATCTTTACGAGCCCATATACATTTAGATGCAGTTCAGGTTTACAGGAGTACATACTGCTGCTTTGCTTCCCTTTCCTCTAATGATTTATGATATGCTTAATACAGCCGTTCGCAGCAATGCAATATTAACATAACAGCTCAATAAACAGACTAAGAAGGAACTGTTCTTAGTTTGGAGTTTTTTTGTTGCCTTTTTTTTTTTTTTTTTCCTTCTGAATTTCAGGGACAAGATGGAACTCCCTGCACTGCCTTCTCCTCCACAGCTTTGCCTATTTTTTATTTTGCTAGAGGCAGCACAGTGCTGGGTGGGGTGGGGATGCCCCCTCTTTGCTCTCCTTTCTACTTTGGCTGCTGAGAGCTGTATTATATATTATTATTATATATATATATATATATAATATATTAAATACAAAGGACCACCGACCCATCTCTTGCGTCCAGGGGCAGAGCCAGCAGCTCCCCCAAGCACCTCCCTGCAGTTATCCCCAAACCCTGGCTCGGGGTGCTGCACCCCTGGGGGAGCCCCCTAGCAGCAAGGGCAATGTGGGAGCCCAAAGAGGCAGCAGAGGGTGTCAGTGCCCACAGCTGCGTGGTCACAGATTCCTTCCGAGCACGGAAGCAGAATTGCTTTCCGAAATGGATGTGCATGTGTAACAGCTGCCCGTTAGAGGGCAAATTTCAGTCAGGAAGATTTCCCTCTGTCATCCCTTGGGTTGCAGGAGACTAAACAGATTGCAAATACAGAAAGGCCAGGAAAAAAAACCTTATCTGCTATCACACCCAGCAGCTCTGCACTCATTCAAAAGCCGGTTGCTGGCTTTTTACCCACTTGGTTCTGCAAAACCTACCGAAGAGCTGATGGCCATAGATTTCTCATGTACCACATTAGAAATCTGGTCACCCATCGCTGGGATGTATTTCGGTACTCATCTGTATTCCAAGTAAGAAACGTAACTTCAAAAAACCTCCAAACCCCCACATGACACGCAAAACCAGGGAAAATAAAATATGTAACTACAGCAAATGTAGCTGTGAGGAAACAAGCCCTCTTCCCTGATGATGAATTATACTTCGCTTGCAACAGATGCAGCTCTTTATATTTGTTTTCTGCATAAATCTACATATTAGCCTGAAAGCAACTGTACGTGCTTTGTCTTGCCTTGGTTCCATCACTCACTGCTCTTTTCAGCTGATTATCTTCGAGTGCAGGGCTGGGGCCTCCCAGTGCAGCTTTGCTCTGGCAAAGGGCCCCGTTTTGTGCCTTTTCCAGCCCCAAAATCACAACGAGGGAGCAGGTGGACATTGACTACGTAGTGATTTTTTTTTTTTTACAGATATTGCAGAGATTGTGACCTTTCTTTTGCCCTTGGTCATTGGTTCCTGCTGATGGGGATGGCATCTCCCGAGCTCTGAGCGATGGGGAGAGCCCTAGGGCTTACAGCGCCCAAGGAAACAGGGAGGACCAAGCCAGGATGGGTGCTGTGCCTCTTACCCAACTGCTCCGAAAACCACAGGTCTTGTTCTATCATCTATAATTTATTGCATGGCGCCAACCAGACAGGCTTCCCTGGAGCTGGGATGGCCGGTGAGGATGGCTGCTGGCGTACTGCAGCGGGGCTGGCAGCAAATCCCCAGTGTGGATGGACAATGGGTTTGCCGCAGGGTCTTTATTTCTCAAGAAATCTAGAACTGGGAGCATGCATGGGGTGCAGGTGGTGGGAGGAATACTCTGCAATCACAGGCAGAAAAGGTGAAAAGGATAGGTACTGAATATAATTATCTTATTAAATACCGAGCTCATTTTTTTCAGGTTTTCTTAATCTCATTGAATGCCATTGGTGTCAAGATAAATTATTTTTAACTGTTTTTACAAAATGCATGTGATGAATTTATGGTTTTCCCTATAGGACCTCCTGAAACATAATTCTCTGAGAGAATTTCTTTTCCTCTTCTCTAAGGAGTCTTATTTAGTATCCGTGCACTGGAAATGAAACAACGAAGCAAGTAAACAACTACTGCAGCGTATCATTAATGGGAGAAGCCTTGTCCTACAGCCATGGTGAGCATCCCTACCCTCGCAGGCAAGAGTCTTGCTTGGTTTTCTCTTTTCCAGGATCGTGTCTGTGCTTGCCAGCCTAAGCAGCTCCCGCTGTCCCGGAGCCTGGTGACTGTCCTGTGCTGTGGGAGGGAAGATGGCTCTGTCCTGCTGAGGGGCTGATGGGTGGGCGCTCGGGTAGAAGCCAGGTGCAGTGAGGGGTGGCTTTGAGGCTGAATTAAATGACTGGAACAAGCGTCTGCCCGTTTTACAGGGTGAAAGCATTGCCTACAAGCAGCTATGGGGTGCAGGGACGTCACCGGCCCTGGCGACAGCAGAGAGGACGTGGGTACCAACAGTGCCCGCTCCCTCTGAGCCTGTGAAGCCATTTCCCATCGCAGAGGATGGGTACAGACATTCTTGCCTGAAGGGGTTTAAATAAGGCTAAGCTCTCACAGGCAGTGCTGAAGGCTGGGGGGGTGTTTGGAGGGTCCCAGGCACCTGTGGCTGTGCCACCCTGCCCAGACGGGGCATCTTCCCGACCCCTCCCCTTGCATGTGGCGTCAAGTCAAAGCCATTTCCACGGCAGAAAGGCCCCCGCTGTTTGGCAGGGACAGAGAAACATGTGTTGTGTTTGGGTTTTTTTTTAGCCTCGTGGAAAACTGAAAATTGAAAAGCTCTGCTTCTGAAAGCTCTCATTATGGAGCAGCAGGTCAAAGGGGCGCTGCTGAACTTGGTGCACAAATGCCAGGGTAGGACAGCGAAAAATAGAAAGCAAATTGGCATGACCTATTACTTCAGAGAAAAGATCTATTTCTGATACATGCGCTTTTTAAACAGAGGTATTGCTAGCTAGTCTCAGGCTCTAACCCACTTAGGCGAAGCTTCAGGCACACAGCAATGTCGCTGCCAGCTCCTGGCTGCTTATTCACCAGTGACACACTGGCATGATGCAGCAGGACACAGCAAGACGGATCTGCGTTGTCACAGAGGGACCAACACGGTAAATGTTAAAAGGCTGGGTTATTGGGGTAATTTCCAGGTCTCCAGGCTACAGCTCTGGCAGGTCACAAGCCGTTAGGTGAGCTCTGAGCTCGCCTGGGATGGGATGGGAAGGCACAGCCCCTCCGGTCCTGGGGACAGGGAGCTGGTGGCTGCCAGCAGATGTGCAGGGGACACTGCCACGGCCGACACGTGCTGTGCACACTCAGCAGCATGCTGCCTTCTGCATAAGGTACGCTGACAGGCAATATAGTCCTTTAACTTCATCTGAGACCACGGGGCCAGAGAAGCCTCCTGCCCACAGCCACGGAGAGGATTATCACTGACATAAACGCTCGGTATTCCCTGACCCGAGCCCTGTGCTGCAGCGAAAAGGAAAAGCTCTCAGTATAATGGAGAGAGATGTTATTGCCGAAGGCATCTCCCCCTAGTCCTATTCCCAGCAAGGCTTCAAGGTGTAGACTGAAAACTGAGATCTGGATGCTGGTATTTTGGCTCAGCAATTGGCATTAGGCTTATGCTGTGTCTGATAGGAGAGGCTGGCGCCCAGACAGACGGCAGATTCAGTTCCCTGCAGTCATTCCAGGATAATATCTTGAACAAACCAACTGTATCTATTTAAATACCTTAATAATCAACATACCAAGTGCAGAAGTTCAGAAGAAGTGGTAGATTTAATCCAGCTCTTGAGAGCTTTATCTGTTTATTTTACAGGACCCTTTGCAAGGCAGAAACTCCATCTTCAGCTATTCCTAAACTGCAAAGTGGGTGGGTTGGGTATTTCTGACAGTGCTGCAAGAAAGCGTGGGACCAACGTTTGCGTTCCTCTGCAAAGAAAGCTGGGTAAGGCACAAAAGTACCTTTCAGCAGTTGAAAGCCTGACCCTCCAGTATAGAGAAGAAAAAAAACCTGAAGTTAGCTCCCGAGACCGACCCAGACCATAAAAAGGGCAGGACGGTGTAGCACATCACTGCCGCGGATGTTTATGTCCCCATGGCTTGTACTGCAGCCTGGGCTTCAGCAATGGCCTCGTGCTGCCAGTTTTCCCGCTGGAAATGGAAGTTGGTGAAACAGAAAGTGAATAATCCTCTTAGCGGGGCTGGCGCCGGCTTCCATCACCCCGGCTGCGCTCCAATTAACACCAGCGGCTAAGCCTCGCTGGAGGTTTTGTTATTAATTACGGGAGAGAGGGAGAACTGAGCGTGCTTAGTGCATGGCTGCTTGGGCTGGGAGAAAGGACAGATCCTAAAATAACTCACAGGGAGAAAAAAAAAAAAATTAACGCCTTGAAAGCAGTACTGAATTAGCACTGTCCCCCTCCGGCCACCCCAGTGTGCTGATGACTGGTCCCCGGTGCCTCTGCTTGTGCTGGGGCTCACTACAGACACCTCTGTAAGTCAGGGCCTGGGACGGGCTCCTGAAAGTCCAAAGTTGCCTTTTGATGGGGCTGGCAGGTCTGGAAACAGCCCTGAGGTGTTACCTCAGTCCTGAGAGCTGGCGATGTGACCGGTGTTTAACTTTTGCTTCGTCCCCCAAACCGAATCCCTTTCCCATCCATAATGCAAACCCTCCACAAAATACAGCCCAAGAGTGGCTGCTACGTCAACGGGATTTTTCAACTGTTAGCTAGCCCTTGTCACTTTTGCAAGTTGACATTTAATCTAGAGTTATTCTTTCCAACAGAGGGTTGCAGAGTACCTTGGTCTGTGTCAGTGCAACTTCAGGGGTCTCAAAGTTGCACTGCTCTCAAAGGAAAAACCTCGCTTGCTTGTTTTAAACACAGAATCCGGTAGTTTTCAAGGTTCTTCCTTCTGGGAAAAAGCAAGAAGCCTCCCCAAACACACAGATCTTCTGCTCCCTCCCTCTAGCCCAGCCGGGGAGAGCTGGATCCATCGCACCCACCCCGGCTGCCACCCAGCTGGTCTCTGTGCCCCGGGCACTTGTCACCGTGCTTCCTGAATAACTCATTTATAAGTTTTAGCACACTTGATAGCTTTTTCATTTAACAGTGAAAACCCGTAAGTAATGGGAACGTACTTAAGATAAAAGAGGCTGGTTATGTTAAATGGGGAATTGCTTCGGTAGGCACAAACCAGCGCTTTCCACCAGACTGCCAGATAAAATTGCGTGCGTCTCTGAAGGGACACGATGCTTAAAAATAGCCTGCTTTGTCACAAATGCTTTTTAAGAGAGCTCAAGATTGTTCCACACCATAGGAGGAGATTTTTCCCTCTTCTGCTCTGAGTCTTTTGCAGCTTTTCGGGCAGAAGGAAAATATTGCTGGCACTGAGGAAAGTGCAATCCGGGCAGCCCAGGGTTTGCTGCGGTGAAGAGGATCACGCCAGGTTGCCCAGCTCTGGCCACACGGATGCCCTGTGAGGACGGCTGAAGAAAGCACTTCTTTCCAGAAATTGCTTTTTCTATATTTCCCACGCCCGGAGGCTTTACGAGAAAATCCAGACCATGGCAGGAGTGTGGGCAGGCACGTGCGCCCCGGCCAGGTCTGCCCGCAGCTCCTCACACAGGCAGCTTCCTCCCCTTATCACATTCGTCGAAACAAAAAGCGTGTAATTCTTACATTGCAACACAACTGGGAAGAGATTAGCCTCAGAATGAGATTAATTGAACGGGAATTAATAAGTGTGCAGCTCTTGGATGCTGGGGGCTAGAGAAAATGAAAATAACTCTTGCGGAGTTGGGAGGAAGAACCCCTTCAGGGCTGAGGCAGGATGGACAGATGGACAGTACGTGACACTGGGGTCCTCCCATTTCAAGAGTATAAAGCTTATTAGTGAAGCTGGGTGCTCTGTGCTCCTCGGGATCCCGTCTGAGGTCAGAGGCAGAGGTGGACAGCCATAGCTGCCTACAATTCCCATGAGGAATGACTGCCGCAGCCGGCTCCTTTTCATTTTTGCCGGTTATTAAGGCCTCCGGACAGACGTGGGGAGCAGGGCCGGGGTGGATGGAGGGGCATTGCCCACCTCCTGCCCCACACACGGCTCCCTCGGCACTGGAGCCACGCTCGGGTGGAGGGAGCGTCACATCTTCTCCCTCTCAACCCCCTGCATGACATCCTTGGCAGTGGCATCGATGTTCTGCTCCAGGACCTCCCGCAGGGCTCCGAGGGGTGCTAACCACGCCTGGGGAGCAACAGCCAGCCCTCCCTGCAGCAATCCTGCTCTAGAAAATGCTCAACAAACATCAGTACATCCGCGCCCTTATCTCTGGAAAAGGGGACAAGGCAGGAGCAGGGACAAGTCGTGCTGTCAGGAGCCCCAGAAATGCCATTTCCCCAGAGCGTGCGGCAGGTTTGCAGAGATTCAGGACCAGAGCTCGGCTTTGCAGCCTCCACCCCTCAGGTTTTCACCGAAATGCTGCTCAGGAGCCCTCCCCTGTTTCTGCAAGTTGTGTGTGTGCATCTTCCCGGAGATCACACACAGGGAGCGGTGGCGTGCAGGCTGCGTTCCGAGGGAGCACATGATTTTTCCAGGCAGTAGATAAGTACAGCATCACTTCCACTCTGTGCACAGCTCTGGTGTGGCTGGGCGTCATGTTGGGGGATGTGGGGTAGGGGAGAACTTTGTAGAGTCGGGCTGATGGATGGACTCGACGATCCCGAGGGGCTTTTCCAACCTGAGTGATTCTGTGATTCTCCTCCATGCACGGTCCTGCCAGGGCTCAGTCTTGAAGGTGTTTCCTCCCCTCCCTGCAAAAGTTTTTCTAATTTTTCCTGGTTGTGGAGGGCTGACCATGCCGGGGGTTCCCGCTGGCCTCCCCACGCTGAGCAGAGGCCACCAAGGCAAGGCACAGGCAGAATCGTTTTCCCCGTGAGCAAGACTAGAGCCACGTTTTCTAATCACAAACTGAACTCAAAATGCTCCAGCTGTTACCAAGAGCGTGGTTATGTGAATGTGTCTTGTCCGAGTCATTAAAATGAATTAAATATCACTCCTACAGCTCTTGGCAGAGTGGCCAGCAGTACCCTTACACCAGATTTCCCCACAGGACCTCAGCCACCCTGAAGCTGTGGTGCCGTCTGAGACACTAAAGACCCAATTTCCTTATTTTTAAGAGCCCCAAGCGTTAACACCCTGCTGAAAGAAGCCAAACACACACCTTGTCAAAACCTGTTTAAAACAAATCCAAAGGAGAACAGGTAGGGAGGGGGGGGGGCTGCCTGCCCAGCACCCCAAGCCTGGGGTGGACACCCCCTCCTTGCTCTGCCCTTCCCCAGGTGCTTTCTCTGCTGCCACCCCCTCGCCACTGATACAGGACAGACCCATGAGACACAGCGTGTGCACCCAACAGCTCCTTCCCTCCTGCGGGGAGCAAATGGGGGTTTCCCCTGATGCAGAGCAGCACTTGAAGCCAGATTCCCCTCCAAGAGAACCAGGGAGGGACCCCCAGAGCCAGGGCTGAGCTGCAGAGGGGCTGCACACCCCAGCAGCCCTCGGTGAGCCCCACGGACTCCTCTCAGCCCACCTACCGCTGGGGCAGCCACTTCTTTCAAGATGCTGAGTCACAAACAGAGCCAAACACCAAAAATAACTGTAATACCTGCAGCCCCTCGCACTTGGGAATCGCCAGTAGATTTTTGCCTGTCTGAGCAGAATGTGTTGCGACGAGATATCCAAGTCTCAAAAGGCTCCTGTGAGGCAGTGAGATGCTTGCAGGGTCTCACTTACACCCACAGCTTAAAAACGGTGCTTGAATATTTCCCTTTAAAATTTCCAGACAAACAAGCTATCTTAAGGTCACACCAAGAAACCTGTTAACTGCCCTAGATATACTCTTTAAGAAAAAAAAAATCAGTCCCCGTAAAATTCATCAACTAAATCAAGCTAAGGTTACAAACATCGACTGAGGATGAACTAGGATCTCAAGGATCCAGTAGATTTGCTGTCGTAGCTGGCGCTATTGCAGATTAATATAAGATGCACCCACAAACGTTTCAGGCTGCTGATCAGCAGACTAGGAGTTGCAATACATTTGATTATGCAAAGCGCTACCTAATACATTTTGCTGCGTCTCCCCCAACATCTTTGCAAGCTGCTGAAAAGCCGCAAGAGATGGGCTCAGGCTGAGCTGGGGCTCTAAAACCAGAAACACTGACTTTTAGTTTTCTCCCCAGCGCCTATAGAAATCCTGCTGGGTCTGAGCTCGTTCCGACAAGGTACAGGATTTTTTGTACCCACGTTATAGCAAAAGGGCTCAAATCCTGATTTTCCTGCTGCGTTATAGTTTGCAACGCTATCTGTAAGGTGGCGAGCCAGATGGGCAGTGACACTCGCAGGCATTCAGACTGGGTATTATTTAAAGGATCTGTCTCCCAAACTGAGTTTCTATGGAGGTGGTTAAAGGAAGAAAAAAAAAAAAAAAAAAAAAAAAAAAAAAAAAAAAAGAAAGCAGAGCTCAGCCTGAACGCGTCCGATTTGCAGCGTACTCACATTCATCTTCCACTCCGGGCTCCTCTTTCAAGCCATTTTGTGAGAGATCCCAGCACTTGTCGGGCCAGGCAGAGCCCCACACCGCCTGCCTACAGCTCCGCTCCCTCCTTCGCCTGCCTGCCGGTGGCCATTCCTCCGGGACTCGCCAGTTGAGTTCAAAAATAGACTTTTAATTCATTTGGCATCAAAGATTCCGGCTTAACTCTTCCCAGCAGCTGTCATGTCCCACCGAAGGAGCTGTGGTGCCAATCGCTTCCAATATAATCTCCTCTCCGAACGACTAGACGGTGCTTGAACTCGTCTTAACCCCCCGGATGGATGGAGATCTCTCCGTAACGCCGGGAGAATACGATGCTGCTCTTTCCAAAAGCCTTCCCTTTTACATGCCTCGACCTTGCAAGGGAAATCCTGTCTCATTTGAATTATTCATAATGCTCTCTGTTCTGCCAGCTCCAGCGCACATTTTCAGTCATTAATATGTCATGACTTTTTATCCTTTTGGACTTTTTTTTTTTTTTTTCTGCTACACGACTCGCCGCTTTCAAAATAACCCAATCGTGGCTATGTTAATTAGCATTCAGCTGATTTACTAAATAAAAAAAAAAAATATGACTCCATCCTAATGCACGCCCTTCCTGGTGGGAAATACCACTTGAGCAGCTCCGGGAACAGGGATAGCGCCGGCTGGTTCTAGCTAAAGCAGTGCAAACCATGTTTGGAGCTCACACTTTTGGCAATATTTCCCAGCTTGCGAGCCTGTCTGGTGATGGAAGGCAGGGTAGGCTTCCAGCATCATGAGAAAAAAACCCGAGGAAGGTAACCATGCTGTGAACTCGATAGAAGAGCTTCTTTTCATCCTTTTGAAGTAACGCTGATGGCAAAGGGTGGTATTCTTGATGAAGGTGGCCGGGCTGGGCTCTGCTCCCCGCGGTGCTGCCTTGGTGGGTGCATCCCCCCAGCTCCCACCAGGATCTAGCCCCGGAGCTTTGCCCCGTGATGCTCTCTGTGGTGATCTCAGACCTGTCCTGGAATCTGGAAATGAATTAAATTTCCTGGAGGATCCTCATCCCTTCTGCACAGAGCCCAGCCGGAGCACCGGGTGCCTGAAGCTTCGCCGCAGCGGCCGAGCCCCGCGCTCCCCTCCGGTCCACTCTCTCCCCCGGACAACACTTATTAATTGAAAGTCGGATGGAACAATTAGCCGGTCGCCAGGAGGCTAATGCTTCTCTCGGCTCCTGCTGCTTGACTCAAGGTTGGAAGAGCTGAAATTTCTCTCCTGTTATCTGAAGAGCGAAATGACATTTCAGCAGCAGGGAACTCCTGCCAATAAAATCGCAGCCTGAACTCATTGCTTTCATTATCCCTTAAATTATTTTCTGTACTTGATACGGGCTTATTGCTGAATCTGGGCTGTGTATATGGAAGGAGAAGGGTGAAGGGCACCTGGCTGCTGCCCTGACCCCAGCCCCAGGCACCCCCAGCCTCAGATGCACAGGCTGCTGCACCTCCAATCTAGCTGAAATAGGAAGAGATATAACCCACTAATTTCAACAAAATTCCCTTGTTTATGGATTTTCCCTAGGAACCCAAACTGGTTTTATAAACGGAAACGCAGCGAGAACCTGAACCATTTCGCATCACAGCGCCCGGGACAGATGGACACTCTCATCCCTACAGCCTCTTGCCCCACAGACAGCTTTGTGGAGCTTTTCTACGCTCCCAATTCATTGCGACCATATTTTATTTTCTAGATAATAACCAGCCAAGAGCTGAGGGTGTGCAGGCAGAGGCAGCGGCACGGTGGGAGCCGGGGGGGTGGCTGGGCGAGCACCCACCCTCCCCGCAGCACCGTGCCTGACCTCTCACCCCAACTCTTTGTGCCAATACTGGCATTTCACATTTTATTTAAGCTACACAAGCACTGTCTACCTGCTCCAGCTTGTAATTATGTGACAAATTACTGCACATTTCCCAACAGCTGAATTATTATGGTATTTTTGTTTGTTTGTTTGTTTTTTCCTGCAAAGAAGTGAACATTGTAAATATTTACACTTACTTCTACTAAGGCTGAAAGCGTGAAGCTGCACTTTAGGACAGACTGTCCTTTGCTTGAGCAGGAGACGACTCCGGGATCCGAAACTGTGGGAAACTATTTCTCAGAGTTTAGTGGGACTCTTGAAATCACTGGTTGTGAACCCGAGGTAATTTCTAACCAGCGTGGCTGGGAGCTGCACCCTAATTCTCCTGAAGCGATTAAAGGCTGGATGTGTGCGTTGGGCTCACACAAACAGCAAAGCTTGGTCCCCCTGCTGAAGTGTTTTAGACTTGAGTCCTCCGTCTAAATCCGAGTGGCAGTTGCGCTGGCTTATTTCTGACTCTCTAGCACCGGATCTACTAAGATATTACATATTTCAGTATTTTCTAGCATGCAATTAATCCCTTTCACCAAATGCTCCCAACAAATTACAGTGACCTACGCATAAAGTGGTAGCAAGTTCCTTCCCTGGATGGTGGTGAGGGGCAGCAGGATGGAGGCACAAACCAGAGACACCGTGCCTGGAGCTGCTGGGCAGAGCTGCTGGGTCGCTTAATCCCCCCTTTCCAATGCAGGATTAGGACTTTCTCTAACAGGTTTCTGCTAATTCCTTAAGAGACTGGAGCACAAACAAATACATCTCTGCAAGCTCAGAAGTTTTTCTTGATGCAGATGCTGTCATCCCATGCCCACCCTTTGAATACATCTCAGCAAGTGCTCAGGTTCCCCAAAATAATCCTTCTGAAGCAGGTACGAGCACGTTGCCTTCCTTGCTGCCTGCACAGAACACAAAGCCCGTGCTGCCTGCCAGTGCATCTCAGCGCCTAAAGCAAGGAGAGAGGGATGGGCTGGGCAAGGGTCGCAGGCAGCAGAGCTGTAGCTGGGGGAAGAGGCTGTACAAAAGTCCAGCCTGTCTCTGGTACGCTTCCCCCCCCCCCCCCCCCC